GGGGATTTTGGGGGGTTCTTTTTGCATTTTTTTGGGGGGATTCCACCCCATAACCCCCCACCCCATAACCCCATACCCCCCACCCCCATACCCCCCACCCCCACACCCCATAACCCCACACCCCATAACCCCACACCCCACACCCCATAACCCCACACCCCATAACCCCATACCCCATACCCCCACACCCCATAACCCCACACCCCATAACCCCGTGGCCCCGCACTCACCCCGGCAGGAGGTCGGGGGGGGTGGGGATGGGTTTGGTGAATCCCTCGCGGCCCACGAGCCAATAGGTGTCCTCCACGCCCTTACCCTATGGATTTGGGGTTATGGGGTGAGTTATGGGGTCAGTTATGGGGTCAGGTATGGGGTCAGGTATGGGGTTATGGGGTCAGATATGGGTCAGTTATGGGGTTATAGGGTCAGGTATGGGTCAGTTATGGGTCAGTTATGGGGTTATAGGGTCAGTTATGGGGTCAGGTATGGGGTTATGGGGTCAGATATGGGTCAGAAATGGGGTGTGGGTCAGTTATGGGTCAGTTATGGGTCAGTCATGGGGTCAGTTATGGGGTCAGTTATGGGTCAGTTATGGGGTCAGTTATGGGGTTTGGGTCAGTTATGGGTCAGTTATGGGTCAGTTATGGGTCAGTTATGGGTCAGTTATGGGTCAGTCATGGGGTCAGTTATGGGGCAGTTATGGGGCAGTTATGGGTCAGTTATGGGTCAGTTATGGGTCAGTTATGGGTCAGTCATGGGGTCAGTTATGGGTCAGTTATGGGGTCAGTTATGGGTCAGTTATGGGGCAGTTATGGGTCAGTTATGGGGTTTGGGTCAGTTATGGGTCAGTCATGGGGTCAGTTATGGGGCAGTTATGGGGCAGTTATGGGTCAGTTATGGGGTATGGGTCAGTTATGGGTCAGTTATGGGGTCAGTTATGGGGTCAGTTATGGGTCAGTTATGGGTCAGTCATGGGGTCAGTTATGGGTCGGTTATGGGTCAGTTATGGGTCAGTTATGGGTCAGTTATGGGTCAGTTATGGGTCAGTTATGGGTCAGTTATGAGGCAGTTATGGGTCAGTTATGGGGTTTGGGTCAGGTATGGGGTCAGTTATGGGGTCAGTTATGGGGTCAGGGGGTGTTTGAGGGGCTCAGGGGCCGGTTTGGGATTTTTAGAGCAGTTTTGGAGTTGTATTTGTCGTTTTGGGGAAATTTTGGGATTTTCCGGGGCCATTTTTGGGATTTTTGGGCAGTTTTGGGGTGTTTTGGGCCATTTTTGGGAGTTTTAGGGCAGTTTTGGGGTGTTTTGGGCTCACCTTGAGCTCGGTCTTGCCGCGGATGTCGACCTTGAAGCCCTCCTTTAGCGAGAGCAGGATGGCCACCGTGCGCTGGTTCACGTGGATGCGATAGGCTGGGGAAAAATGGGATTTGGGACACCAAAAAAACCCAAAAAAACCACCAAAAAACCCAAAAAATCCCATAGATCCCCAAAAAATCCCCATAACTGACCCCAAACCCACAGCACCCCCAGTGCCCAAGCGTTGGGTCACGTGGAGGCGATAGGCTGGGGAAAAATGGGATTTGGGACACCAAAAAAACCCCCCAAAAACCCCCCAAAAATCCCTCCCCGTGTCCCCTGTCCCTGTCCCCATCCTGGTGTCCCCATCCCGGTGTCCCCATCCCGATCCTGGTGTGACTCACGCCGGCCGGTGGACTCCATGCGCGACGCGGTGTTGACGGTGTCCATTCCCCGTGTCCCCTCCCCATGTCCCCATCCCAATCCCAGTGTCCCAATCCCAGTGTCCCTGTCCCGATCCCAGTTTCCCTATCCCCATCCCGGTGTCCCCATCCCGGTGTCCCATCCCGGTGTCCCGGTGTCCCTGGGGTGTCACTCACGCAGGCCGGTGGACTCCATGCGCGACGCGGAGTTGACGGTGTCCCTGTCCCTGTCCCCATGTCCCCATCCCCATCCCGGTGTCCCTGTCCCCATCCCAGTGTCCCCGTCCCCATCCCGGTGTCCCCATCCTGGTGTCCCTATCCCCATCCCGGTGTTCCATCCCGGTGTCCCCATCCCGGTGTCCCGGTGTCCCTGGGGTGTCACTCATGCAGGCCGGTGGACTCCATGCGCGACGCGGTGTTGACGGTGTCCCTGTCCCCATGTCCCCATCCCGGTGTCCCCGTCCCGGTGTCCCTGTCCCCATCCCGGTGTCCCCATCCCGATCCCGGTGTCCCTGTCCCCATCCCGGTGTCCCCATCCTGATCCCGGTGTCCCTGTCCCAATCCCGGTGTCCCTGTCCCCATCCCGGTGTCCCTGTCCCCATCCCGGTGTCCCCATCCCGATCCCAGTGTCCCCATCCCAGTGTCCCTGTCCCCATCCCGGTGTCCCTGTCCCCATCCCGGTGTCCCGGTGTCCCTGGGGTGTCACTCACGCAGGCCGGTGGACTCCATGCGCGACGTGGTGTTGACGGTGTCCCTGTCCCTGTCCCCATGTCCCCATCCTGGTGTCCCCATCCCCATCCCGGTGTCCCCATTCCCATCCCGGTGTCCCCATCCCGGTGTCCCCATCCCAGTGTCCCCGTCCCCATCCCGGTGTCCCCATCCCGATCCCGGTGTCCCCGTCCCCATCCCGGTGTCCCTGTCCCCATCCCGGTGTCCCTATCCCGGTGTCCCCATTCCCATCCCGGTGTCCCTGTCCCCATCCCGGTGTCCCTGTCCCCATCCCGGTGTCCCCNCTGTCCCCATCCCGGTGTCCCCATTCCCATCCCGGTGTCCCTGTCCCCATCCCGGTGTCCCTGTCCCCATCCCGGTGTCCCTATCCCGGTGTCCCCATTCCCATCCCGGTGTCCCTGTCCCCATCCCAGTGTCCCTGTCCCCATCCCGGTGTCCCATCCCGGTGTCCCGGTGTCCCTGGGCTGTGACTCACGCAGCCCGGTGGACTCCATGCATGACGTGGTGTTGACGGTGTCCCTGTCCCTGTCCCCATGTCCCCATCCAGGTGTCCCCATCCCGATCCCGGTGTCCCTGTCCCCATCCCAGTGTCCCTGTCCCCATCCTGGTGTCCCCATCCCGGTGTCCCCAATCCCGGTGTCCCCATTCCCATCCCGGTGTCCCCATCCCCATCCCGGTGTCCCTATCCCGGTGTCCCCATTCCCATCCCGGTGTCCCTGTCCCCATCCCGGTGTCCCTGTCCCCATCCCGGTGTCCCATCCCGGTGTCCCTGTCCCTGTTCCCGTCCCCATCCCGGTGTCCCATCCCGGTGTCCCTGTCCCCATCCCAGTGTCCCCGTCCCCATCCCGGTGTCCCATCCCGGTGTCCCGGTGTCCCTGGGCTGTCACTCACGCAGGCCGGTGGACTCCATGCGTGACGCGGTGTTGACGGTGTCCCCGAACAGGCAGTACCGCGGCATCGTCAGCCCCACCACGCCCGCCACGCACGGCCCTGGGGGCGGGGCCAGAGTGGGCGGGGTCAGAGTGGGCGGGGCTACGGGTGGGAGGGGCTAAAGTGGGCGTGGCGACAGGGGGCGTGGTCACGAAGGGGCGTGGTCACCAAGGGGCGTGATCACAAATAGGGGGGGTCACAAAAGGGGGTCACAAAGGGGTGTGGTCACAAAGGGGCGTGGCTACAAAGGGGTGTGGTCACAAAGGGGTGTGGTCACAAATTGGCGTGGTCACAAATAGGGCGGGGTCACAAAAGGGGGTCACAAATGGGTGTGGTCACAAAGGGGCGTGGTCACAAATGGGTGTGGTCACAAAAAGGGGTTCACAAAGGGGCGTGGCCACAAAGGGGCGTGGTCACAAAGGGGTGTGGTCACAAAGGGGTGTGGTCACAAATGGGTGGGGTCACAAAGGGGTGTGGTCAAAAAGGGGCGGGGTCACAAAAAGGGGTTCACAAAGGGGCGTGGCCACAAAGGGGTGTGGTCACAATGGGGTGGGGTCACAAAGGGGCGGGGTCACAAAGGGGCGGGGTCACAAATGGGCGGGGTCACAAATGGGCGGGGTCACAAAGGAGTGGGGTCACAAAGGGGCGTGGCAAAAAAGTGATGGGGTCAAAAGGGTGAGGTGACACCAGGGCGGGGTCACCAAAGGGGCGTGGTTACAAAAGGGGCGTGGTCACAAAGGGGCGTGGTCACAAATGGGCGTGGTCACAAATGGGTGGGGCCATGGAAGGGGTGGAATCAAAAGGAGTCACAAGGGGCGGAGTCAATGGGGCGTGGTCACATCTGGGCGTGGTCACATCTGGGCGTGGTCATAATGGGTGGGGTCATAATGGGTGGGGTCATATGGGGTGGGGTCAATGGGCGTGGTCACAGAAGGGTGGAGTCACAAAGGGGCGTGGTCACAAATGGGCGTGGTCACAAAGGGTGGAGTCATAAATGGGCGGGGTCACAATGGGCGTGGTCACAAATGGGCGGGGTCACGGAAGGCGTTGGGGTCAACCGGCAATGACCATCGAGGGTTGGCCAAGGAGTTGGGCGTGGCCAAAGGGGGTGTGGCCAGTGGGGGTGTGGCCATAGATGGGTGCGACCAATGAGAGTGTGGCCAACGAGGGTGTGGCCACAGTGGGTGCGGCCTTTGGTGGTTTTAGGGCCGTTTGGGGCCATTTTGGGCTTAATTTGGTGGTTTACGGCCATTTTGGGCTGTTTTGGGCTGTATTTGGTATTTTTAAGGGCAATTTGGGGCCATTTGGGGCTTTTTTTGGTGTTTTTAGGGCATTTTGGGGCTACTTTGAGCTGTATTTGGTATTTTAGGGCCGTTTTGGGCTGTATTTCGTATTTTATGGCAGTTTTGGGCAGTTTTGGGCTGTATTTGGGTGTTTTTAGGACTGTTTTGGGCCAGTTTAGGTTGTATTTGGTGTTTTTAGGGCAGGTTTGGGGACATTTTGGGTTTTTTAGGGCCATATTGGACTGTTTTGAGCTGTAGTTGGGGTTTTTAAGGCAATTTTGGGCCATTTTGGGCTGTATTTGCTGTTTTAGGGCAGTTTGGGGTCGTTTTGGGCTGTGTTTGGTTCTTCGAAGGCGATTTTGTGACATGTCCCAAAATCAATCCCATGGACCACGACCACGTTGAGCGTTGGCCAAGTTGGGCGTGACCAAGAGGTGGGCGTGGCCTTTAAGGGCGTGGCCAATGGGCGTGACCACCTGGTGGGCGTGGCCTGTAAGAGCGTGGCCAATGGGCGTGGTCACCTGGTGGGCGTGGCCTACACGGGTGTGGCCAATGGGCGTGGCCAGCCCCTCCCACCCACCATGACCCATTGGCCAACGCGCCGTCGCCCAACGATTGACCGACGCGTTGGCGTGGCCGGGGCGTGGCTGGGATAGCCAATGGGGAGCGGGGCGTGTCTGGGGCAGCCAATGGGGCACAGGCTGTGCCTGGTGCAGCCAATGGGGCGCAGGGCGTGGCTGGGGCGGCCAATGGGGCGCAGGGCATGGCCTGGGTGTCGCCGGGGCAGCCAATGGGGTGCGGGGCGTGGTCAGAGCGGCCAATGGGGCGCGGGGCGTGTCCGGGGCGGCCAATGGGACGCGGGG